AGGGTCCTTCAAGAAAAGAGCGTATTAATTCTTAAAAAGCCGGCAACGCACTCACGAGCTCTCTGGCATTGAGAGTGTCCATGGGCGGCGATATCATCAGGTGACCCTCCTGCCCGTTTGCCCCCTGTTCTATAAAAAAAAATATGTGCCAAGAATGACCAAATTTAAATATAAGTCAGTGAATATACTATGTATAATGAAAAATAACAATTCCAAGGTTAATTATTGTACGTATTGTAAATATATAAACGTTGTTCTTTGATGAAAACAATTGTAATCATTAAAATACTCTAAGGGAAAGATTCAGAGTCGAGATCGAGACTTAGCGCTAATTTTAACTTCATTATGTCAAAAACAGGATTTGTCATACAGGAGTCCTAAGTATCGACTCTGAGTCTTTGGGTAAGAAGCTCCTCATTTAAAACCGAATGCCTTTTAATTCGTAATAACATCCAAATAAGTAATTCAACGACATGATGTCTAACAAATAACAAACAAAATTATAATTAAACATGCCTGTGACTAGCGATCATCAAGTTTATTTAATTACGAAAATTATGTTTTGTTGTGACACGAGAGAAGTTCAGCGTCTGTTAAAAGGTATAATAGTCTAGTCGACAAGTTGTTAAATAAAAGTAATATTCATGATAATCAAAAAATTTACAAAAAAATTTTTCTATACTTTGTTATATATGGTTGTTTTTGTTAATTTTAGAAGTTTTAGAAAAAAAATAAAAAAAGTTGAATATTTGTTTATAACAAATTGGTAAGTTAATAAACAATAGAATTGTTGATTAAAAAAAATTTTTTTCTGTTACTTTATAGAGGACTGTGAATTATGATTTTTATAAAAAAAAATTCTTAACTAATTATTTAAACAATTGAAAATTAAAAAAAACGATTATAAACAATTACAAATTGTTATTAAGGAAAATTTTTTTTTTTTTAAAATCATAAAATTTTTAATGTAATAAAGTTGTGTTAAAATTTAAAAAAAAATATTGATTTAATCAATTTGTTTAAAAAAAAATTATCAACAAATGGCGGGAATTTTTTTTTTTGCAAATCAATAAATATCTTGTATTAATAAAAAAACGATTATATGATGATTTAGAAAAAAAAAGTTTTTAAGTTTTTGGATTTTTAAGTTTTTGTTTAAGTAAAAAAATTGTTATAAACAAAGTATAAATATTTTTTTTAACTTTTATGGCACGATCTTATTAAGTATGTATGTAAGAAAGGCTCTACGAAGCGAAATATTTTTACGACCATTATTTAAACATTTTTTTTTCACTTACAATTAAGACGGTCGTTCGAGAAAATTTCGTTAGTTAACAATTATTTAACTTGTTGAAAAATTAACTTTAAGTAAAATTTTCAACGGGAATAAATTAATTATAGTGTTCAGAACACACCATAATTTTTTCAAATTTAAAAAAAAAAATTCAATACCTTAAATAAATTAATTAATGTGCCGTAGTCGCTTTTGACGCCATGCGCGAATCCTAAAAATTTCACCCGCAGACCTATTTTCAGCGTTAAATTAAAATTATAAATAATGGAGATAGAGTTCTGGGAGTTAGGAGTTTTTTATTGGAAATTTCCTCTTCTTTCAGAATCTTTATTTGAAATTTCTTAAATATTAATAGTTTATTAAATATTGGCAAAAAACTAAATGCCATTTTTTTTTCATCTTTAATTGTCTATAACTTTTGCAATTTTTTATGTGCTAATACACGCTTTTAGCACATTTTTCTAGACGTCATTCCGGATCCAATGAGCTATCGCACATAATTTTAAGAGCAGTATCTCTATTTTGTTCCATTTTCAATTTGTCGACTAGACTATTCCTTATTTTAACGATTGAAATAAATTTTATTTAACACAAAAGCAATAAGCGGAGTTGCGATGCCACAACGTTTAACTCGGCAATATCATTATATGTATATTATTAATTATAACTCTTCACATGAGAAATACGTTTATAAATAAAGGCCTAGTGACGTGTTGCGATAAATGGGTCAGACGATAATGTAAAGTTGAATAATTTATATTTCAAGTTGTAGTAATAGTGATACCAAAATATTAAAGTTTCACCAAAAGTTAGTTTAACCAATTTGACAATCTTATCCCATCGTCCCATCACTTTAAACAGCCTTAACCTATGAAGTTTATTTTTTTTATTAAACAAGTGGCGTTACAGTTCTATATGGGTCTTGGCGTCAGATTGCATCCGTTCTGTCCCGTCTGACATATATGGTCGATTTTGGATTTGGGACATGACGGTTCACTCGCTCGTACGGAAAAGGAAAACATAGTGAAGAAACCGTCATCTCTCAAACTCAAAAATCTACATCGGATAGAAGGATTGTCACCTACTTGTCTATGAAATCAGAAATGATCGAAACGTATGCAATCTGAGGCCAAGACCCATTTAGTTTTAGAACCACTGGATTTTTATTATTACTAACATAACAATTCTACATTAATATATGTGCCAAATATCAGCTTATTAGAAAACTTTATTGTTCTTGCCTCCGACTTTGATTTTATTCCCTTTGGAGTGAAGACTCTTTGGCCGTGTGGTTCAAGTGCACAGGAGCTATTTAAAGCTTTAAGTTGTCGCCTAGTAGATAGTAGCGGTAACTTCAGAGCTCTTACCTCGCTCAACGAACAAGTATCGCAAAACGGCGAGGAAATGCAATAAAGGTAAACTGCCACAGAGACCAAACGTTGACCAAGACTATGAGTTTATGCATACTACGAATAATGAATTTTATGTATCTTGATCGAAATGTTTGTGGTCTCTCACTTTTATTTGATGTATGTTATATGAAATAACATATACACACAGATAGTTGGTGTAGAGACGACTACTAGACTACTATATATTGCAGTTTTTTGTATTGCAAATGAGGTTGACAAAAGTCCAACGGAAGAATTCGTTACACACAATTGTTCGGATTAATACCTGGAGCTGTACCAGTTACCGAAGTATTTCAGATCCAATTCGACTTAGGGTCCTTTAAGATAAGAGGGTACCAATGAAGCCAATCGGGTTGGATTTTAATTACCTCAATGAATAAATAACAAGGATCTCTTATCAGTTATAAACTTGGTAATTTGTTTATCGATATAAATACTTAGAATGTTATTGCAATCAACCGCTTTCGAGATTTATCTACTGTAAATTTATCGGACTTATTACAGTACATACATTGCCTCCCGGTTTCAGTATTTTTAAATATGTGAAGTTAGTCAGTTACTGAAAAATGTTAAATCTAAAACAATCACACACCCACGACATCAAGAAATAATGAATTACGGCAAGATAATAAGAACCAGCGATGCCGGAGTTTAAAGTATTTAAAAAATATTATAATAATTAAATAATTCAGACATCGCTGAAATATTAGTATAGAATTTAACTAAGTACTCTTTTGACTCAAAATAGTGCCTTTGTTAATGTTGTGTAATTAACTAACTGAGACTGTCTAAAGATATTGTTTTTACTATGTTCAAATTGCCAATAAGATGTTATTTAAGATCTTAATATAGCATTCAAAATGTTCAAAGAAAAGTCCTGTCTAACATTTTTTATATACTCAGCCGATAGATAATTTATAAACTTGCTTTTATTAATGATGAAAATTAAGATTTAACAAATTTACAAAAATAGGAAGAAGATTTATATTGTAATAAAATTAATATGATAATAATTCCTGCAACTAGTTGATAACTTATACTGTTATCAGATGTCATTGTTAGCAACAACAAAATATGGCTACTAGACGCGATATTAGACGAACACTTAAGTTTTGCACTCGGGTGTGTCTGTAGTAGTAGTAGTAGGTAGTAATTATGGTAATACGGTAAGTTACTAGACGATTTCTACGTTGTTCTCACTGATTTGTTTTCTATATTTAAACCCAATTTGCTGTGTTTTAACGTGAAGAACATCAAAAAAAAATCTAAATATTATTTATTTATGTAGGTTACTTGTATACTTAAGCAAAAAAAATAATACTTCTAAATTTTCTTAGGAGTTTTTACAAAATGTTTGTCTCGTAATCATGGTCCTTATCACATGCATTTAATTACGATAAAAATTAATATGATAATAATTCCTGAAACAAGTTGATCACTTACACTGTTATCAGATAAAATATGTCATATCATTGTTAGCCATAACAACAAAATATCGCAACTAGACGCGATATAAGACGAACACTTAAGTTTTGCACTCGGGTGTGTCTGTAGTAGTAGAAGTAGGTAGTAATTATGGTACTACGGTAAGTTAGTAGACGTTTTCTACGTTGCTCTCAATGATTTATTTTCTATATTTCAACACAATCTGCTGTGCTTCACCGTGAAGAAATATAAAAAAATTTTTTATTACAATAGATAACTTGTACATTTATGAATGTCACACACACACACACACACACTTACTTCCAGTTCTCAAATTGAGAGCGTAGAACTCTAAGCACAACTTTTATGTGTCCATTCCAGTAAGTTTTTGATAAACAATCATACATAATGCTAAGTCGCGGCTGTGAATCTTACCCTGAGATAAGAGAGGCGAGAATACCAGTGACAGTATAAATAAAGTCGCATTGGAACAACACGAGGTGGTGCCTACCAAAATTAGCTGAACACACTAATTTAAGACTGATAAAAAAATTAAAATAAATTTTCACGTAAATATTGCTAGGAATTTAGGTTCCATAAAATGAATTGCAAACCATCATGTATAATATTTTAATGTATTAAACTACTTATCATTAAATAAGTTTATAGATTTACATTTTCCGGAAATCTAACGTAATCACTAATACCTCCCGCGTACCCCGACCCGCATTCACGCAGCATATACTTAGCAGTTGTTCCAATTTTATCTTGATTTTGTTGTCAATATCAAGATAAAATTGGACTATATTAATCGAATAGATTATTAAAGAATCACTGCATTGTTGAGTTTTTTAATTGGTGTTTGTACGATGATTTTTCTATTAGCTTTCGCTTTATTCAATGTATGTTCTTGTGTACCATTTCGGTATCATAAGGATGTGGGTATCAAGCAGGCAGAGTACTTGATGATTCAGGAGACGATGGGAAGGATAATAGGAGGAAATCAAGTGCCTAGTATTATGACATATCCTTATCAGGTATTATTTTTGATAGTTATAATAACACAAGGCAAGACGAGGTATAACAACAAAACAGGGACATCTCGTATGTATCTGCTAAAACAAAATTCATATGAGTACAAGTCTAGGATAAATATTTTTTTTAAAGATAATTGTATCTTAATTAACTGTTTTTAGTTGCATTGTGTGAATATTAATATGATCTAATTATGTAATTTTTATCAGTTATGTTTGTGTTTGATTCTTACTGATTTCTTAAGCGGTATGAATTTAAAACCTAACGGTTAATTAAAATAATTGTAAAATTCATGTCACCCTCACAGTTGGTTGATTCGAAGTTAAACAAAGCGCCTTATCATTGTACGTCATCCGAAGTATCACTAAACATAATCTACAAAGAAAGTTCATCTTGACTCAATTTTTTATTGGAAATGTCTGTTCTAGGCTGGAATAGTAGCTACTTTGACAAATGGACTTCAGTCCATTTGTGGTGGAGCTCTGGTTTCAAACACTCGGGTATTAACGGCAGCTCATTGTTGGTGGGACGGGGAGAACCAGGCTAGGTCATTTACCGTCGTGCTAGGTTCTCTTACTATATTCTCAGGGGGAACTAGACTTGCTACTAGTGACGTTGTGGTCCATCCATCTTGGAATGATAAGGATATTACTAATGATATTGCGGTTGTTAGGATTTCCAGAGTGCAGTATACTAGTAAGTATTTATGGTGATTTTTCACGTACTTTAACCGGTTAAATGTTTTATCAATTTATTAACTAGATGAATAATACTTTTTAATAACGAATTTAATAACGAAGAGAACAAAGTAGTTTTATTATTAAAAGTAGCATTCATTTTATCCGCTGACAGCGAAATTTTTACTGAAACAGAGCTGGACGTGGTACATTTACTAATTCTTCTATTGTGTGTTCTTTGTTAGTCTTTTACGTCACAATAAGGCAACTAGACAATATATTATTCTAATCATTGACTTTCTTTAAAACTATGTGTACAATCGAGTATTTCATATTATACTCGGTATTATGTACAAAATTTTACTCCACATATGCAAGAAAAAAAGACTAAGAAAACTGAGTTTAAATCTTTTGAATTTTATACTAATTCCCGATATTAATAATGTATATTCCAGATAATATTCAAGCAATACCGCTACCCTCTATATCGGATGTTAATAACGCTTTTGCTGGAGTGACAGCTACCGCTACGGGTTATGGAAAGACGAAGGATTGTAAGTTATCAATGTTGGAAAACTGCTACGAAAGTGTGAAAAATTAGTAATTTATTGTAGTAACAACAAAATAGTGTCGTTTCCAGCTCAAAAAGGATTTCCAAAAACTACTTCACTGCAGCACGTCAACCTTAAAGTTTTGACCAACGCTGTCTGTCAACGAACATTCTCAGGCGTCACCATACACAAAAGTCATCTATGTACAGATGGCTCTCAGCGAGTTGGTACTTGCGAGGGTGATTCGGGTGGACCATTGACAACTATTATCAATAATAAGCGGATGTTGGTATGTATTAACCAAGATTAGTTTCTTTATTTATTTCATTGCGTCCTATAACGTAATAATAAAACAAATCCACGCTGACTTAACGGGTTGGCATTGGTACTTGATCAAAGTTTGACTCCATTTACAGTCCTTTCCCGTTAAAACAAGTATTAAAAAAAACCTCAGTGGTACACAGCCGGGCATCAGTCACACAACCTCTTAATTATCATCTAGGTCTTCATTGTTTACGGTCGTATTTGTGTCGCCGCACATAGCCCTTGCATTTATTTCCCTTTTAGTAAGAACAAGGACATTTATTCTAAATGGTCATAGATTCTATCGAAGGCTACACAAATGTTTTTTGAAATCATATAATATATTGTTAGGCATAAACTCTGTACACGGGCATATTTGATTCCAGATCGGAATAGTATCGTTTGGACTGGGAGATGGATGTGAACGAGGCACGCCCTCCGTGTACACGAGAGTAACGGAGTTCCGTACATGGATCAACGCGCAACTTTAGAAATTGATTCATTATGCTATATTTAAAAACAAATATATGATTTACTGAAACGTAAGTTTTATTCAACATTTACCCATTTTTATTCGATACCCATTAATACGATGATATCGGACAATTAAAATTGTCAATATACAAATCTTTTTACAGTATAAACTGTATATGCTTCTGTCTATGTGTCGAAAACAGCATTTAGTAAACGCAACGTCTTTGTTGACAGAGCTCTGTGCAACAGACAGTATATTTTGTAAGATTCAAAAACGTGAGTCATCAGATCTTGTTCAACATATTTGATAGATTTTTATTTATTATCCCTATCGAGTGATAATAAAATGAAAAGATAGTATTAATATGTTGCTTTATTCTCTGTGATGTGAGCTACATGTGAGTTTTACAAAGGATATACTTTGGGATAAACGCTACATTTTTATCTCCTTATCAAGCCTCAACTAGCGGTTAAATATTCTCTAACTGGTTAACTTTTTGCTGGAACGTTATAATCCGTAGAAATTTCTATGTTTAATGTTATTTTTTCTAACTTTATTAAATGTAAAAGCCGTTTTCAGTAGTATTTACTTTTACTTATGTAACGAAAGACGAAGTGAACGAGTTCGATCATTCCATTTCCAATCTGTGGAAATTTTATAATTTTTATTTAAATTAAAAATAATCAATTCGAGATATATTTTTCTTCTATAGTTAAATATATATTATATAATTACGGACGAAGCTTATGCATGTACAGTTCCCACTCAATCAGTAGACCAGAAATGCGCAGAAATCATACTGAAACTCTGCAGTATGTAGTATCCAGAATAAGACTGTTATGTTATTTTTTTAAGAAAACGAAGAAGAATAAAACTTTAACAATCAAACAAACCTACCCACACCCTTATTTGAAACTTAGTACGATTTGCCAATGTTCATAATAAACTCAACAAAGTGCGGTTTCCCGCACTCCGTCATAATTCTTTAGATGCGGCAAGCAATCACATTCAATAGCGACAAAAAAATTCCACGTCCCACTGACAGATCCAGTTCTACAATCCAGCTCTTATACATGAAATTCAAGACACAATATCTACAATACGAATTTACTGAGATATTGGGTTAATATGATCACATTTGGATTATAGTGGTAAGGACAAAGATTGGGGACGTGGGATTTTATATTTAAAAATACTTGAATTTACCTCTTTATACTCGTTTTACACGCATCCATTATGCGAAGTTACCACCGTTACAGAATTAGTATATGTTTGTTAATAAACATAGTGGAGTCACGTGGAAAGCCTACGTCTCCCTCTATGGATTACTAGAATCCGAGTTTAAAAATCTGTTAGCAAACGTTTTTATATTTTCTAAACTTTTTTGTTCGATAAGTCAAAACTTTGTTCATTAAAACTTTTTATAAATAAAAATACAAAAATAATTTTAAAAAAGGGAAAATTAATCAAGGTAGAACTTATACCGGTAAAAAGTTGGCAAAAACGCAATACCAAAGCCATTGTGTGTTTATGAAGTCAAATTATCCATCAAAAGGAAAATTAAAATATCTATATATAGATAATGCTAGTAAACTATATATGTATAGGTCGTATTGGAAAGAGATAGACACGGCTAAAATTGTGTATCATAGCTACTTTCACAGCGTTATGTCGTACGGTATGCTACTGTGGGGTGCTGCTGCAGAGGTTCAATCCATATTGGTGCTGCAGAAGCGGGCTGTTCGGGGTATTTGTTGTGTTTCTCCATAGGAGTCGGTACGGAATAAGTTTTAGGAATTAAATATTATGACACTATATGGTCTTGAAACCTTGTTGTACGTACAAATAAATATAAACGATTTTAAAACTAAGTGTGACTTTCACCAGTATAGTTAGAAACAGAACAAATTTAAGCGTACGACCAACCAGGCTCCAGAAGATAAACCACTCCTTATATGGAAATTTAAAACGAACTTTAAACGTAAATTAATCAATAAAGCATTTTATAAATTCAACAAATATTTAAATGATCCTAATCCTTAGGATTGATTTGCACCAGTTCAAACAATTTGTATGACTCAAAACTTAGCGATGAAAAAAAGTAGCGGAGAGTTTTTTGCCAGTTCTTCTTACCCGTTCTACGCCCTTGACTTGCGAACTGGTATTAAATGTAAATTTAGAATGAATTTAACTGCTTTTCAGACGTTCATGAGTGTACTTGTTTAGATATATGAATAAAGTTATTTTGACTTTGATATTATTTTGATATCTATCTGAACCACAGCCGTACTCTCGAAATTAAACTCGAAGTGGAGTTGTAAATGTTCCGTTTATTGGTCGAGTGATGGTCAAACAAAATTACAAAGCGAAGCCAGGTTATGACTAACGTCCGACCGGCACGGCTGCGTAAGTCTATCTAAATAAACAAATAATAACTTAAACTAAGGCCTAAAACTACACGCTGGTAAAAGGGACCGGCCGACCCTTCCGTTACCTGCGCACCCGCCGACCGTTTAATGCAAAAATATTTGGCTGCCAGCTTCGTTCACCAGCTTTTTAAATTACATTGTTAGTTGTCCGTAACAGAATATACAGATATATACAAACCGAGTTGTTTCATCCAGTATGGTTTTCTTTTTATTTTTTATCTTTTTTTATGTAACAGGAGGCAAACGGGCAGGAGGCTCACCTGATGTTAAGTGATAGCCTATTGACACTCGCACTGCCAAAGGGCTCGGAAGCGCGCTGCCGACCGTTTAAGAATTGATACGCTCTTTTCTTGAAGGACCCTAAGTCGAATTGGTACGGAAATACTTCGATGGGCAGCTGGTTTCACATAGTGGTGGTGCGCGGCAGAAATTGCCTTAAGAAACGCTCGGTTGTGGAACGATATTTATTGAGGTATCTTATTTATTACGATAGGTAAAATATAGATCTTTTCCAAAATATTGCGAAAATTATCATTTATATTTCTTGCATTTTAAATCACACTTTTATAGTTTGTAAGAATTCTCTTACTTAGTTAAGCAGATTTTAATATTATTTGTAAGATTTTATTATAATGTCCTTTTTTGAATAGGTTAAATGTTTGGCCATTTGGTGTTCATTCATTTTGTTCTCTTTTATACTATCGTGTACAAGATTTAGTACCATTTAATATTGATAGTAAAATGTTGGGTAACCTGTAAATGTTTTGTAGTGGTTAAACATGCTGAATCCATATCCAAACATACCATCCGGCCCAGACAGGCAACGTCCGGATAATGTGCCAAACTTTACACAAAAAACGTTCGTCCCAAGTCTGCAACTTGAAATCTGCATACGATTTTGGCCTAACAAATACTAAAAGTTAATGTACTTGAAATATGGAAAGCGCTTAGATGATAAGGTAATTTGTTTATTTGTCGAAATGTGTGTGAATGAATGGGCGGTTGATGATGACAATAAAGGTCGGGAAGAAATATATAAAGGGGCATCCACACGCTGGCTGTTTGTCACAAACACCGCAAACAGCAAACGAAGTCCCAAACACCAACCACAATCACCCAACACAAACAGCCATCCACATGCTTGGCGAACGTTCATAACATTCCGAATCGGCAAACATGGCGGACGACGAGCTTGTGGCAGCTATTACTTTCGGGTTGACATATTTTTATTATAAATTAAAGCAAGAGAAAGAAAAAAGGAAAAAAAGAAGAAAGCAAAGACGATGGTGGATGATTAAAATACATAGAAATCGTACAAGGTACTGCTTTAGACCAAAAAAACAAAAAAAACGAAAAAGTGTAGCAAGTAAATACGTCCGCCTCCCGCAAGCTCGCGCGCATACTGATCGCTGCCAAACGTGTGGATACGTAGCAAACTGTTTGCCAAACATCCTTTGATCTGGCAAGATAAACCGACACCGATGCCGAACACTGCCCAACACAAACACAAACAGGCAAACAACGACAAACACCCATCCACACGTCCGTGTTTGCTGTTTGCTGTTGGCTGTTTGCCATTGTTTGTCAAGCGTCTGGATGGGGCTTTAGCGTTTTATAAACAGTCAAATTGTTGTTTAATTGTTTGGATTCCTTTATGTAGGCCTTCTTTGGACAGTGGATCTCGACCATTGGAAGTTCCTATTCCTTGTTTATAACTACTATTCTATGTAAAATGAATAATAATAACAAATTCTTTCTTTACAAAAAAATGCAAATGCAATTTATTTATTTATAAAAGCTTGCCAATGCTCGGCACACTGATACCACCAATTTGTTGACGTTTTGAGTAAAAACAAAATGTTCAATAAAATGAATGAACAACTTATTGGCACAAATAATAAATAAATAGAGCAGTGTTGGCCTAGTGGCTTCAGCGTGCGACTCTCATCCCTGAGGTCGTAAGTTCGATTCCAGGCTGTGCACCAATGGACTTTCTTTCTATACGCGCATTTAACATTCACTCGAACGGTGAAGGAAAACATCGTGAGGAAACCGACATGTCTAAGACCCCAAAAGTCGACGGCGTGTGTCAGGCACTGGAGGCTGATCACCTTCTTGCCTATTAGATTGAAAAAAATAAATAAATAGGTTTGCTTATATAAAACGTGACTACTCTCCTATTAGGTGTAAGAATGATAAAAAGATAGGAGAGTGCTGTTTAAAATCGCAATAAATTGAAGTGGTAAGTTGTCGCGTCAGACTGTCACTCGTGGGAAGAAAATTTATGTTAGAGAAACTTTACTTTAAATTCTGATATTTTCTCTTATTTTACACCTTGCATGGTACATAAAATTTAATTAGCAACAAGGTTTTCTGACGAGTGTAATAACATTATTTAAAGCTCGTTGCTCGTTTCTTTATTATTTAATTTGATAATAAAACTTGTGTTTATCATTGTTTAATTTAAAGTTGTCATACCATGGCCTATTTAGAGTACACCATAAGCTATTTGATATATATTGAATGCCGAGTGAGTAATTTCCAAATTATAAATATATTATCTGTTTTTTAAACAGGAATAAATTTT